GGTTTGTTTAACGCCGGTGGTCGCGTGACTTTGCGCCTTGATTTTTCATGGCAGCCTGACCGTAATAGGGGAGATGAGCATCGCCTAATGGTCGGGTAAAACTAATTGCTGCTGTCGGTGTATTCTGGCGAGTGGAGTTTGCTAGTCGTGAAGAGGCAGCAAGAGCAGCAGCAGCCAATGCGGAGGCTTGGGCAGCTGCAGCTGGGGCAGGATTTCGAGTGTTATCAACAAGACCATTGAGATGCGGCTGCGGAAGACCAGCTGACGCGGGGATGGTAATGGGATTTGGGGTACTCCGATGAATTCCAGGAAAAGGAGCGCCTTGAGCAGACTGAGTCATAGGCTCTGTGATAGTAGTATCCACGCCCGCTGCTGGATCAAACGTCCCACTTTCGGTGACATTCGTTCCGCTAACGTCCATATCTTCAAAATCTTCAGCAAAGACAAATGGCTGTTGATTAGCCAGTGTATCGGGATGGACAGTGGCCACGTTGGCGCCAACTATGGGCATTTGTTCTGGATGAGGTGTCCCAGCATGAGGGATTCCATGGCTACTTCCACCTGGTATCAATCCACCAGTAGAAGCCATGATCGTGTGACCGACAAAGCCCGGGGAACTGCAAATAAAGATCAAAAAAATCACATGAAAGTATAGTGACTCAATTCTGATCACACAGAGAAATCATTTCACCGGGTTCCCTTACATCAATCTCTAAAAGATGACACAAACAAGTTAGTTTGACTCAGTAATACGACCATTGTGGCACATAGGTGAAACCCATGCACTACGACTTTTGGAAAATTGTCGTTTTGCGTTACTTAGTGAGTACTGAGAAGAAAAGTTGTGCGCATCCATAAATCAGAACGCCTGATTCACGATATTGATGATGCACCAAATGTATCAGTGAATTACTTTTAATCTGCATGATGAACCAGTACCGGCATCATAGGCACCTATACACATTACGCCGCGATTTCCAAGAAGCCAATATATCACCCGTTTGGAGTCCTGGTAAAGTAAAATCACACCATATTATCACATGCAAGGTCATCTGAAGTGCGAGATCTTATATATATGCTTCAGATGCAGAAAGAGATTCTCGGTGGGTGGAACACTTCGGCTGTCCTAATCTCCCTTTGAGCCAAACCCCTAAGCGTCCTCCACGCCATCATCGCGCAGCGAGCTACGATCTACCATCTGTAGAAGAAATCTCATATACCATCAGTGATCTCAGGCCGCGTAAGGCTGTAAGTGAGGACGGAACGCTAATGAAAACGCACGTAAAATGCTCCCCAGAAATGTGGGTAAATGAAATTCAACCAAGAGACAGGAACAAATTGATTTTACTTCCACCTCCAAAAGGGTAACAAGTCAGTGGGTGAAAACTGCAGCTATTTTTGTACAATGTCTGCTGAACCGCTTTTCAAAAACAAGACAGGTGTAGCGGCTCTAATCAGAAGGAATCAGGCACCAGAATGGGCTGCGTTGACCTTAGATAACCTTTCAGACCATCTCCACGAGCTCCAAAAACCTAC